GGGGGGGGGGGGGGGGTGGAGGGGGGTGGGGGGGGGGGAAATTTGGGGGAATTTTGGGATAATTCGGGGTAAAATTCGGGATAATTTGGGGGAATTTGAGGAATTTGGGGGAAATTTGGGGGAATTTGGGAGATTTTGGGGTGGAATTTCGATTAATTTTGGATTTTTGGGGATAATTCGGGATAATTTGGAATAAATTGGGGTAAATTTGGGATAATCTGGGGTAAATTGGGATAAATTGGGGATAAATTTTGGGAGGATTTGGGATAACTTGGGGCGGAATTTCAAATTATTTGGGAAAATTTAGGGGAATTTGGGAAAATTTGGGAAAAATTTTGGGATAATTTGGGAAAAATTTTGGGGAATTTGGGGGAATTTGGGGCGGAATTTGGAATTCTTTGGGAGATTTGGGATAATTTTGGGAGATTTGGGATAATTTTGGGAGATTTGGGATAATTTTGGGATAATTTTGGGAGATTTGGGATAATTTGGGGGGGGTCTCGCCCCCCTTTTTTCCCCTCCCCCACCCCAGAACGACGCCCTGAGCCGCGAGAGCCTCGTGGTGTGAGCGGGGATCCGGAACCTTCCAGAAACCCCCGGAAAATTCCAGAAATCCCCCGGAAAATTCCAGAAATCCCCGGGAAAATTCCAGAAACCCCCCGGAAAATTCCAGAAATTCCGAGAAAATTCCCAGAAATCCAGAAAATTCCCGGAATTCCAGAACATTCCCGGAATCCCGTTGTTTTTTTTGGGGCCGTTCCGGGAATTATTTTTTTTTTGTGCCTTTTTTTATGGATTTGGGGCCAAATAAAAGATCGGAGAAAAACCCGGAGTGGTGACGTCATCACTTCCTGCCAGTGACGTCATCACCTCGTGCCCAGTGATGTCGTTTGGGGAGGGACGGGGGGCGGGGTCTGGGGGAATTTTGAGGGAATTTTCTGGGATTTTGGGGGCATTCCTTGGGATTTTTTGGGATTTTTGGGGATTTTTGGGGGGGGTTTTTTGGGAGATTTTTGGAAATTTTTTGGGGATATTTTTGGGGGGATTTTTTGGGGGATTTTTTGGGATATTTTGGGATTTTTGGGGGGGATTTTTTTGGGGTTTTTTTTTGATTTTTTGGGAATTTTTTTGATTTTTGGGGAATTTTTGGGGGGGATTTTTTGGGGGTTTTTTGGAATTTTTTGGGAATTTTTTTGGGGATTTTTGGGGGGGATTTTTTGGGGATTTTTTGTGATTTTTTTGGGAATTTTTTTTGTGATTTTTTTGGGAATTTTTGGGAATTCTTTGGGAATTCTCAGCCTTTCCCGCCGCCCTTTTGGCGCGAACCCAGCCCCGTGGGCGTGGCCTCACCCCAAACCCCGCCCCTTTTTACGTCCCCCTCTCTGATTGGCCGCCGCCCCACCCGGATATCTCGCGAGGAGTGGGCGCGGCCTCCCCCTTCCCATCACTCCCCGCGGCCGCCGGGCCCGAACCCGGAAGCTCCGGAACCAAAAAATTCCCAAAAATTCCCAAAAATTCCCAAAAATTCCCAAAAATTCCCAAAAAAAATCTCCGGGATCGCGGCCAACTCCCCCCCGGGCCCGCCATGACTTTGTTCCACTTCGGGAATTGCTTCGCGCTCGCCTATTTCCCCTATTTCATCACCTACAAGTGCAGCGGCCTGTGAGGGACTGGGACAAACTGGGACAAACTGGGACAAACTGGGATGGACTGGGAGGGACTGGGATGGACTGGGAGGGACTGGGAGGGACTGGGAGGGACTGGGAGGGGGTTGGGAGGGGTTAGAGGGGGTTTGGGGGTTACTGGTTTATACTGGTTCGGTGGTTGGGGGTTACTGGTTTATACTGGGAGGGGACTGGGGGTTACTGGTTTATACTGGGAGGGGCGGTGGACTGGTTTGGACTGGTTTGGACTGGTTTGGAGCGGTTTGGAGCGGTTTGTACTGGTTTATTTCGGTTTAAAGCGGTTTAAAGCGGTTTGAACTGGTTTGAACTGGTTTGTACTGGTTTGTACTGGTTTGAACTGGTTTGAACTGGTTTGAACTGGTTTGTACTGGGAGCAGGTCCGAGTACAGCGCGTTCTGGCGCTGCGTCCAGGCCGGAGCCACCTACGTACTGGTGCAACTGGGAAAGGTGGGGGAGCAACTGGGAGCAACTGGGAGCAACTGGGAACCCCCAAAATCCAACTGGGAGCAACTGGGAGTAACTGGGAACCCCCAAATTCCAACTGGGAGC